CAAGCACGGTTCCTAGAAGTGCTTTCTCTGGAGGACACATCATTCCTATAATCCTAAATAACTTTGTAAGGCCAAATGCTCACTTGAAAGGCTCTGCATACAATTCCTAAACTGCTTGTGTGAGGGCTGGACCTTGAAACTACCTGTTGCACCTCTCTGTGGAAGGTGAATGTCATTGTACTGCCGCATGCAGAAATGAAAGAATTGTAGGATTTTAGGAATTGATATTCAAGTGCTTTGAATGGAAACCATTATTTACCAAGCCACTGTGTTAAAATAAGAAAGTTCCCCTCCCGCCCCCCTTCACTCTTGCTTGTCCACAAAATCTGGCATAATAAAATCTCCTTCTATGTAATTTTGAAGGCCTTTCCTAAAAAGCTCTCTTAAGTCAGCAGGAAGGAGATTTTAAGAATTTAAGAAAAGCTCAAAGGTCATTTCTAAGGAAAAACTGCTACAAGTGATTAAGAGAATATGCAACCAGGGGCGCCTGGGTTGCTCAGTCGTTGAGCCTCTGCCTTGGGCTCTGGTCATGATCCCGGGGTCCTGGGGTCGAGCCCCCCATCGGGCTCTCTGCTCAGCGGGGAGCCTGCTTCTCCCTCTCCCTCCTACTGCCTCTCTGCCTACTTGTGCTCTCTGTCAAATAAACAAATAAAATTAAAAAAAAAAAGAATATGCAACCAAATGTGTACTCCAGTGGGACCCTGAATTCCAGTGCTGGCTCTGCCTCTAGCTTAATCTGTAATCTTAGCCTACTTTACGTAAATTATGCAACCCTATCTTTTGCTGTGCGGGACCATGATGAAAATGTGGGATAGTAGCCAAATTACTGTCTGGTCTTTCTTGTGTTGTATGTAACACATGCTTTTATATCTTCCCTTATTAATGACTTCTAGTTTCCTATTTGTTAAAGGTTCATAAACCTGTAGTAAACAGAGCACATCAGTGTGGTGTATAAGAGCCTTGGGGTCGAGTCAGAAGACCTAACTCTAATCCTATTTGGGGCCCTATTTAGCTGGAGATCTCCAGTAGGGACCTCTATGCTCTCTGAATGTTTCCTCAGCTGTAAAGTGAGGGAATCTGACTTTTATCATTCTATGTATTTCTTTGTTTTTAAGTGATCTCCGTGCCCATCGTGGGGCTCGAACTCACAACCCAGAGATCAAGCATCTGAACCTTCCAGGCACCCCTATCTTTCTATATTCTTGGTATTATAAGAGTATTTTGGCTAAAATGTTTACAATCATTTTAGAGAAGTTAGCATTTCTAGCTTCCAAGGTAAGTTTCCAGATTCTCTTAAATACAACTGACCTGGTGCAGTATTTTAACGTAAACCTGGATTTTCTGTATATACCATGACCTATTGTATATTTTTTATGCACATCTGTTTTACAAAGTGAAACATTTTTTGAAGGTTAGAGATAATTTTTAAAAAATGCTGTTTGACCATGAGAGACGATGGACTCTGAAAAACAAACTGAGGGTTCTAGAGGGGAGGGGGGTGGGGGGATGGGTTAGCCTGGTGATGGGTATTAAAGAGGGCACATTCTGCGTGGAGCACTGGGTGTTATGCACAAACAATGAATCATGGAACACTACATCAAAAACTAATGATGTAATGTATGGTGATTAACAATAAAATATTATTAAAATGCTGTCTGAAATGTGTATGTATTTCATAATTATTTGAAATAAAAAGGGTCCGGATGGTGTAGAAATACACTGTATTTAAAATTTACATATCAATAGAAAATATTTACTGTTTTTCTAATTTTGGTGATGGACATCTTCTACTTTATTATATATACTTTTTATAGCATACCCCAAAATACATTTTGTTCCTGATCTTATATAGTATTTTGAAGGCTACTTAGCCAATTTTGCATAAATATAGTAATAGTAATACCAGCTTTTGTTTGGTATGTAACAGAGCTCTTCATTTTACAGATGATAAAACGAAGGCACCAAAACGTTAAGTTACTTGCCTGAGGTCACACAGCTAGGCTGGGATTTGAATCCAGACAGTTACAGAACCCAGGACTCTGACCTATCAGGCAATACTGCCTCTCAAATGAAGAGCCATGGGCCTCCGCCAGATTCAGAGAAGGAAAAGAAGGGAGGAGAGAGTTCCCCTCTAGCGCTCTCCTCCTCCTGGATAGAAACTGCATTCACTTTCACTCCCTAACTGTCCGCTGCTGGCCGCGAGGGTGCTGCAGTAGTACCCACGGCTCCCAGCCCGCGCCCGCGTCGCCGGCTTCGAGCACTATCCACCGCCGCGTCCCCCCCGCCGCTGGGGTCGCGCAGGGCCCTGGCCGCTAGCCCGGATTTTCCTCCGAAACTGGCGAGTCCGGGAAACCCACTTCTGTCTCGGAGCGCCGCCTCCCGCAGGGCCCTTTCCCGCCCACTCACCACCCACGCTGGGTGGGCAGGTCGCAGAGCCGAGACTCCCCAGTGCCCACCGCTTCCCGCCCACTCCCCCGAACAGGGAGCACACAGACCCCGCCCGCAAACGCCCACCCGCTCCGGCTAGCTCCTAGGCCCCTCCCCCCCGCCCACTCCCCACAGCTGGGAGAGGGGAGTCACCACGCACACCCACCCTAAAAGGTCCCCCCATCCCTTCCCGCTGGCGTGACGCCCCTCTTAGGTCCCCCGCGCGCCCACGCCCCCTTCCAGTCTCCGCAGCCTGGCCGTCGCGACACATTCCAACTTACCGAGCGCAGCTCCGAGAGTGCCGAAGACTCAATTGCCCGGGTTTGTTCAAGAAAAACACCAGTGGAGTGGCGCCTGTACCTTAACCGACTTGGCGCGGGCCAAGGGTGGGCGACAGTTCAGTCCATTAGGTTTTCAAGAGCGTAAATGCGGGCACCGAGTCAGATCCTCCAGGGTGCGTGTGCAGGCACTTCCCGGGTCCCCCGCCTGAGTTGCGCTTTTCTTAAAGGGAGATTCTGCGATTCAGGGAGTGTCTCCTCTTCCTTCCAACCTGCGCTCAAACTGCCCGCCTCCGGCGCTCGGCCCGGCGAGAACGCCGACGTCTCCACCGCCTGGGGTTCCCCAGATCTACTTCGGGGGTCAGTATGCATTTTAGGCTTTAAGGACTAGGCTCTCGTGTCCCCTACCCACTCACTGACCCCAGGCCACAGAGGTTGAATCGTGCGGAGGCCCTGCTGGACCCGACAGAAACTGATCCTGGTGGTTGGACGCCCCTCTTGAGACCCAGTCACACCCTAAGCCCATACACCCCCACAATACGCACTGACTGACCTCCGGGGCTGAACCGGCGGATGAGGAGACCGACCTGCACCCGCTCCCGTCATCGCGCGGACGACCAGAGCTCCGGGTCCTGCCCTGCGTGCGCGCCCCGCTTGGCCCCGGCCACCTCCCAGCCCGAGGCCTTAGAGTGAGTCCGAGAAGGGGAAAGGAAGATTGAGGAGGATGCGGGGTACTCACGATTTCACCGTCCACCCGGCGAGCCAGAGGGGAAGCTCCGGCCAGCTCGCCTCCGTCGGCCGTGCGCATGCGTCCCGCGTGTGCCTTTTTTTTTTTTTTTTTTTTTTTTTTTTAACAATACCAACTGGTGGCCTTACTACGCCGCGATTGCTTTCCCCGGTTTTCCTCTTCTTCTGGCTCTAGGTCTTTCCTCTCACCTTCTTCTCCGCTCTCACGCTCCCTCAGCTCTGCCTCCTCCCCGCCCCCTCACTCCCGCCTCCCCGGCCGGACTATCCCGGTCTCGCCTCCCTCTGGCGGCGGCGCGCTCCACTGCGGCGGAGGCTGGGGGGGGGGGTCGCTCCGAGCCCCAAACTGGACCCAATCGGCCGCGGGACTGTAGCCTCTTCCTCCAGTCCGGAATGAGGCAGAATCCAGAGTGTGGGCCCTAAATAAGGCGAGCGCAGAGAGAGTCTGCAAGACCTCCTCTGCGCTCCCTCCCTTCGGCGCGCGGGGGCTGAGCGAGACTCGACTGTGCGGGAATGCGTGCTCAGACCTTGTGAATGAAGAGGGGCGGAGGGAGGTGCAAGTGTGAGTGTGCCGGCGGGCGCGCCGCGCGCGGAGGGCGTGCCCTATCCCTGGAGAGTCACGCCGTGGACTACCCCGCCTCTGGAGGGCAGCCCCCTACCTTCTCTCTTTCCCCGGGTGCTTCTCCGAGCTCGGCACCCGTCCCACCCCGGTACTGCCTCTGCTGGCCCCTCACTGGAAAGGAGTTCCACGCCCTCTTCCTGCCGCCGGAGCCGGAGGCCCCACTAGGTTGGGGGTGGGGGTGGGGGGGTGGCTAACTCCGGATTCCGGATCCCGTTGAGACCCTTTGCAGCTGCCTTCCGTCCCCAGGGGCTCCGAGGTCCAGGGGTAGGGAGAGACCTGGGGGTGGAGCGGAAAAACGCTGCCTCCCAGCTCCGCGGGCCCAGAGCACCGCGTATCCCTATAGACCCCGCCGTGTGCCCTCGGGAGCGTGACGCCGACCGACCGCCCGAGCCCGGCGCGGGAGCTTGGAGGGCTAAACTGAAGCTGGAAGCTGACCTGACACAAAAATAACATCACGTCATTTCCTCCCCGGCTTCCAGAGCCTGCAGACGCTGAGAGGGCAGAGGAGTGGGAGAGCGAGGAGGGGGCGGAGGCGCGTCGGGGGGAGGCTTGGTAGGAAGGGGGTTGAGCGACACGTTGAGAACGAGAGTTTGAGAAGAGACTCAGAAAGGGTGAGGACTCCCTCCCGCTTCCACAGTTTCCATTGACACTGGAAGGAAATGGTCCAGGAAAAAGTAGCTTCGAGGATCTACTGCGGAAAGGGGATGTCAAGCTAGGCGCCAGCTCGTTTTCCTTGAACTAGCTCAAGCCTCTCTTGACCTTCCTACCAAAACTCTCTGCCCCTCCTCCGACCCCTCCCGCCCTAGCCCCTTGCCGGCGGGAGCCCCGGCTGACCCGGGTCTCAGGTCAGTCGAGGTTAGGAAGGAGCAGGGGATGCTGGTGTCTGGGTGAGGGCGGCGGTGGGGCGTGGTGGAGACAACTGTACTCACGGGCATGGGCGAGCTCTGCCCAGCGCAGGCGTCCTCTTCCCTGGGAAGGCGTCCCCCTGGGGGTCGGCTGGGCAGTGCCAGGGCTGCCCCCAGCAGGAGCTGGAGACGGCCTGGCCGCTCCCCGTGCCCCCGCAAGAGCCCAGCCGCTGGCAGGGAGCGAGCGGGAAGCAGGAGGGACAAGTCCGGGCGCCGCCGGGGAGCCCCAGAAGGGGGTCGCCGGAGAAGGTGAGAGAAGAATCGCGCGAGGCCAGAGAGCGTGCTAGAAAGGAGGCTGAGCAGCTTCAGGGCAGCGGGCGAGTCTGGGAGCTGTGCAGGGCCGGCGGCAGGAAGGGCAAGAGGCAGGGGGAGAGAAATAAAACAAACACACCATTACTGTTGGGTCTAGCTACAGACTGAAGAAAATGTGCATTTAGTATCATTTACTACAGCATTTTGAGGCTGTACTTTGGGGGTGCAAGAGAAGGTAGGTGAGAGCAAAAGGAAAGGCCTTTGGTTGGATTCTCCTTCCCCTTTCTCTCCTTTTCCCTCTCTTTTCCCCTCCCCTCTTTCTAACTCTGTGCCTCTCATTGTGGTTCTTGGACCAGCAGCTTTAATAACAACCAGGAGCTTGTCAGAAATACAGAATCTGGGACCCTATCCTGAGCTACGGCACCAGAATCTGAATATTAACATTCCCAGGGGGTTCACATGCACCTTAAATGTGAGATACAGTGTATAGAAGCATCTTTATTCAGACTTCTTGGTTCTTTAGGATTTCCTAGTGAATGAACATCTTCTAGTTCACTTTTGCAACTTTTGCTCTTCTCCTGCTTTCCCTCTGACATTTCCCACCTCCTAAAGTGCCTAGAGCTCTCCCTGCTGAGGCACTGAAGTTGGACTTGGTTACTAGGTTCTGTTGTGAGAGGTGTCTGGGGGGAGAACTGATTAGTGTCAGAAGACTGAGCAATCCCAGGCCCAGGCTGGGTGGAAGAAGGGACTGGCTGATTTGACTTGGGTTGTGCTGGTTGGCGTAGTGGGATACCAGGACTCTGTTGGGTCTCATGAGTGCACACTATGCAGGACCCTTTTGTGCACTCGATGTGTCCATCTTATTATCAGGAACACAGGCCTTTCCACCTTGTACTTGTTGCTTAGGATATCTAAACGGCCAGTAGAAAGCTAAGATTATTGTTATTATTTTCTTTGAAAGTAGAGGGAAGCATTACTTTAGAAGTCAGAAGCCCAAGGTTCTAAACTGAGCCTTGCAACTAACTCCTCGGCTAACCTTGGGAAAGTCTCTTTATTCTTTGAATTTATCTGCTTCATTTATAGAGTAAAGGGGATTGAACTCAGTGGCTTCTTAAGGTCACCTAACTCCTCAGGCTGTCATTTTGGAGCTCTTAGAGCTTCTTGGTCCACTAACATTTAGAGAAGCTACGATCCAGAACCTAACTCAGCCAATCTAAACAGCTCCCTCAAGCAAAACAAAAAGACAGTTTAATCTGTTTGTGAAAAACAAGAGTGGTGGTTGCCAAGAAAATTGAAGGTGGAGGCGGGAAGCAGCTAATACAAGTGACAGGGTGGCGAGGCGCGGGAGGGGTTTAGGCGAGCGGGGTGGGACGGGAGTCCCAAGGGCGCGGCGGCCGCTCTCCAGGGTCCTGAAGGCGGGAGAGGCCGCGGGCGGCCTCCGCGGGTTTGGCTAGGTTCCCCCGCGCTGCAGTTGCCAGGCCCGGCTTGTTTTCTTTGGGCTGTGGAAGTCTTGTGGGAAGCGATTGTCGGGAGGGAGGGAGGGAGGAAACCTAGCAACCCATTCTCATTCATGAGGCCCTTTCTGGGAAGTCGCCGAGCGTGTTGGCTGATTTGTCTTTCGATCGTTTGTATGCGCTCGGGGAAAGAGTGGAGCTTGGTTTACATTTCCGAGTGAGTTCACAGTTTCGCTTCCCCTTATTACCTTTTCCTGGAGAATTAGGTCTTTCTCCTAGTATTTTTATTCTCCTCGTTCATATGCTTCTCTCCCCTCCCCCGCTTTCTGGCACCGTGAGTTTATTTTAGAGGTTGGAGCTGAGAGCCGGGGAGGCTTCTGGAGAAGTGCCAACAGCTCACTCGAGGCGGGGGGGAAATGAGAGATTTAGAAAACGCTCGGAGCCGTCCTTGGCGCCGGGGAGGAGGACAGGGAACCAGGCCCTCGGTCTGGGGTTGGGGTGGGTGCTCCGCCGGCGCCAATCGAACTCGGATGCTGCGGGAAGCTGGGCTTGGGCGGGTTACAGCTAACTTCGTGCGCACCTGCCGGTGATGGTGGGCCGCGGCCGCGTCTGTCCGGAGCGCGCTGCTCGATGGCAGCAGAAACCTAAGGGGATGCGAGCACCAGGGCCTGAAGGACCCCATGCAAAGGAAGTCAAGAAAGAACCGGTTCAGCTCCTGGCGACCCAGAGCTTGAATAAGACCACCCGCGACCTTTCCCAACCAGCCTTCATTGGAGGGCTTGAGCAAAGCTTAAATCGCTGAAAATGAGCTGCAGGCACACTTCGGCGTCGCATGCCCCACTCCTAGAGGCCCGAGGGAAGCATCATGGGACTTCCGTGAGTCCCAGAATTTGCCTCTCCAGCTCATATTTTCAAATGGTTTTGTGAAAATGTGTGAACCGGTAACCTGACCCTTCTCTCTTCTTCCCTCACAAGTCCTTCCCAAGTCACTTGCAGCCCCTTCCCCCCGTCACGCTTCATTAGGCCTTTTGCTTCGGTCCTTTGCTTCAAGACAGAGACGCTTGTGAGGAAAATAGTGGAAATGTTCAGGCAGAATAAAAGTCTCAAACTCAGCCCCAGAAACACAAAACCCTGGCTCCACTGCTCCTTTGGAGACATTCAGCTTTTACCCTTCCCTACATTGGTCTTTTTCTCTCAGGATCAGCAGCCTGCTCTCCAATTCTGGCTGGTGTCTGGACACACTCTACAGTCAGAGCAAGTCTGGGCAGGGACCACAGGCTTCCCTAACAAGCAGCAGTGTGAAGCATGATAGGAGGGAGCAGTGTGCTGAAATCTGACTTCCTCTGGCCCTCCTGGTAAGGACAGTGCCCTGGGAGTATCAGTGTAGTCACAAAATTCGATCTGAGAAAGTTATCTGAGGAAAGACCTTCAGCTGCCCGCAGTGCTCCAGAGATCCCTGTCTTCCTTTTAGGCCAGATTCTAGATGACAGTCTGAGGGTTTCACTAGTACTAACCACAAAGCGGAATCATCTTGGAATCTGTATTCCTAAAAGCACCACTCCTTAGGGATCCAGAAGACTTAGGCAATACTTTATAAAGATCAAATATCCACTTCTCTAATGAATCATATTGGCTATTGAACCATGCAGAGGAAAAACAGTCACCACACCCAAATAAATATACACAAAATCTCATCCCTTTAAAAGGCAAATTGAAAATTTTCATTCACCCCTAAATAATATCATTTCGTAAAAGAAACATCCATGGCAGAATTAAACTACTTCTAACCAAAAATTTCTCAGAGCTTTTAGAATTAAAATCACAGTTAGAATGGAATTTGAAATTAGATTTAATTTTATGAGATGACCTTTTTTTCTGGACTCTTTTTTATTTTTATTTTTTTAATAATTTTTTTATTATATATTTCCTGGACTCTTTTTTTTTAAAAATTCTGTTTGATTTGGTTTAGTTATTTTGTACATTTTATTTTCCATTATTTGGAGAAGCAATTCCTCCACTTGGATCTAAGAACCTAATTGGCAGTGATTTAAAACTCTAATGGCAAGTCTTTGCTTGTGCTGACTATAAAGCATGCAGATTGGAAGATGGCAAGATATAAGATAGATCATGGATATTAGAGTCACAAGTTAATATTAATTTGAGGCCAAACTATTAATAACTTGTTTCTACTAGGGTTCAATTCAAATCTCGATGTTCTTAGTGAAGGTACAACTGTTAAAAAGAATATCTCTGTAGCTCATAATTAGTTCTGACTTCATCCATTCTTTTAATAACTTTTTAAGTGGATCTATGCCTAGGACTTATATGGAGGTGTTATAAGTAGATGTTACATAATGAAACATTGATACTGAGGAAGGTGGGGCTAGGAACAGAAGTGGAGGGGACCAGAAATAAGGGCTACTTAGGTGACATGTATGTCTGGGGAAGGGAAACACTGCAGGTTCTCTCTGCTCAGTTCTTTCAGAGATAACAGGGCTCTTTGCCTTCCCGCTGGTGTTGTTAACTGAGTGAGGAGTTTAAGATAAGAGGTGGGTCTTTATTTGAATATATATAATATATATATATATATATATGAATTATATGCAATACTGAACTCTTAATTTTACCCTCCAGACTTTCTCCTCCATCTCGGCGAATGGCAATTTGATCATTTTTGTTCAGGTTAAAAACACTGGAGTATCCCTGCTTCTTATATTTACAGCTATCACTCTGAATAGTGATATAGGCTGAAGTGGGTTTCTCCCAAAATCATATGTTGAAGTCCTAACCCCCAGTACTTCAGAATATGGCTTTATTTAAAAATAGAATGGTAGAAGATATAATTAGTTAAGATGAGTCATGTTAGAATAGCATGAGCCCCCAATCCCGTATGACTGGCGTCCTTATAAAAAGGAGAAATTTGGACACAGACACACGCACCAGAAGAACGTCATGTGAAAATGAAAACAGAGATGGAGGTGATGCATCCACAAGCCAAGGAATGCCAAAGATTGCCAACAAATCATCAGAAATGAGGAAGAGGCATAACAGATTCTCCCTCTGAAGAAATCCGGCTACAAGACTGAAACATAGAAACCCTGCCTCAGTTTCCAGATTGTTGACCTACCCTGCAGATTTTAGATCAAGACTGAAACATCAGTTCTAACCTGAATTTCCAACCTGCTGGCTTGCCCTACAGATTTGAGGCTTGCCAGCCAACACAATTGAATGAGTCAATTCCCTAGGATAAATCTCCCTCTCCATCTTCCCACCCCTCCTCCTCTCCCCTCCCCAATTCTCTTTCTCTCTCATCATCATCTGCTGGTCACATATATATCCTATAGGTTTTGGTTCTCTAGAAAACCTTGGCTAATTATTTCTGGTACAGGTCTTATCATCATTCACCTGGACTACTGGATTATCCTCCTAGCTGGTACTTCTACTTCCCTTTTGCCTCATTTTCCCTTAATATTGAAACCAGGATTTTTCTTTAAAATGTAGGTCAGACTATGTCACTCTGCAACCCCAAACTTTCTATTGGCTTCTTGTTTCAGAGTAAAATCCAAAGTCTTACATTATCCTCAAGGCACAACGTGAATGGTCCCATCCTACCACGAAGATCTCTTCCTATACAGCTATTCTTGCAATATTGGTTTTGCATAGCACTTTTTACTACTTGGCCTGCTATGTATTTACTTCTTTGTTTGTATGATGAAAGTAGTAACTTTTTCTCTTTTGTTCATTGCTATGTCAATAGTGTCTAGAACACTGCTTGGCCCTTAACAACGTGCTTAATAAATATTTGTGGGACAAATGAATGTGAAACCAAGCTCAAATATTAATCATTCATAAAAAGGAATGGAATTCTGGTACATGCTACAACATGGATGAACCTTGAAAACATGCTAAGTGAAAGAAGCCGGATGCAAAAGGGCAAATATTATATGATTCCACTTACATGAGGTACCAAAAATAGGCAAATTCATGCAGATAGAAAGTAGAATAGTGGTTACCAGGGGCTGGTGGGAGAGAAGAATGGAGATTTACTATTTAATGGATGCAGAGTGTATGGGTTGATGGAAGAGTTCAGGAAATAGACAGTGGTGATGGTTCTACAACCTTGTGAATGTATTTATTGTCACTGAATGATACACTTAAAAATGGTTAAAATGGTAATTTATTTTATGTTATTTATATTTACCCACAGTTTTAAAAAAAACATTAAAAACTCTTCAAGGTGTGAGCTCAGAAGAGCCTGAGAATGTCCACCCAGTGGGGAAAAACAGCTGAGTAAATCACTCCTAATTCTGCCAGAATCTCTTGGGGTTCCCTCATTTTGATTTCTGCTGCCACCAGCTAAAAGTGTTTGCAAGATAGACATTGTCAAGTCCCATTCTATTCTAGAATGTAGTGGGACATACACTGTGGTATGTAGAAGTAGAAAGAGAAGAGCTGAAGCAGGGTCCAAGAAAGGTCTTGTAGGCCACTCATTTCTTCATTCTTTCAACAAACATTTATCACATGTCTCTTAAGTATCAGGCACTGCTCTAGATGCTCTGGATTCAAAGTGAGTGAGGAAGAAAATGATCTGTTCTTATGGTGTGGTGAAGGAGGGGTAGTAAGAATCTATGTAGACTGAATAGGGCAAGTAAGTCATGGCAAGGATTTTGTATTTTATTTTAAAAGCAATTAGAAGTCACTGGAAGGTTTTAAGCAAGAAAGTGACATGATCTGATTTATATTTTTAAAAGACTCCTTTGGTGCTTTGTATTGGAGTGAATTGGAAGGGGGCTCGCATGGAAATAGTGAAAACAAGAGGCTTTGTAATGGTCCAAGTGAGAGAAGATGATGACTTGGACAGTAATGGGGATAAAATATAAAGAAATGGACAGACTGAGATATGTTTTAGAGAGAATTAATGGCACTTCAGGTGGATTGGATTTGCAGGCTGAGAAAAAGGGAATCAAGGATAGTACCCAGGTGTTCTGAGATGAGCCCTTGGGTGGCTTGCTGAAATGAAGATGAGGAGGGAAATCAAGAATCCTGGTAAACACATTTCGCAGATGCCTATGAGTCATTCAAATGGAGCTACTAAATAGGCTGTTGTAAAAGAGCCTTGAGCTTAAGATAGAGGTCTGGGTAGGAGTCTAGGAGATGTACATTTAGGAGTTATTAGCATAAAATGGTATTTAAAGCTATTGGAATTGGGTAAGATTCCTAGAAAGAGAGGAAAAGATAGAAATAGATTGAACCAATTTAAGGAGTTTGAACCACATCCAGATGGAAATGGGGAGCCACTGACAAAACTTAATCAGGGAATTAACAGGATCAGGTTTGTACTTTAGAAAGATCTCTCTGTCCTCTGGTATTACTTAGAGGCAAGCATGACTGGAAAGAGGGACCAGGGAATAGGCTGTTGCAATAATTTTTGGGGAGATGACTTGATCTAGAAAAGTATTAAATAGAATGGCAATAACTACATGAACAGATCAAGAGATATTTTTGAATAGTGTGAACAAAATGTGGGGATTGATTAGAGGTGTGAAATGAGGACAAGAGCAAGGTCAAGGGTTAAGCCTCCCAAACTGCTAGTTCAAAACCGGGTGGATGATGGTACCCATTTTTAGTGAGATAGAGAACTTAGGAGAAGAGTTTGGGCAAAGGTAAAGACAATTGCTAATTTTGAAGTGCCTGTTAGACACATAAATCTAGATGGTCAGTAGACTTTTGTAAATTCATGCATGGACTGCAGGAGACGGAGCCTGAGTGGAGTCATCAGTCCATAAGCTGTCTCAGAGCCTTTGACACTGCCCATATTAGCCAGGGAGAATGAGTCCAGTGAGAAGAGAAAAGCACCAAGGATGAAAACTTAGGGAACTTCCAGTATTTCAGAGTCAGTAAGGGGAGAAGAATTTTTAAATGAGGCTGAAAGGGAGCAGCCAGAGAAGTAGAAGCAAATAAGACAAAAGGGACATCATCTGTTATGTTCCAGACTCTGATTAGATGTTATGTCATTTATTTCTTTTTGCAATCCTGCAAGCAGGTATTGATCTCTCCATTTTACAGAAGACTGTATTGAGACTCAAGTGAAATAATTTGGCCAAAGACACTTATCCAGAAAATAACAGAACAAGTCTGAAGGAATTTAAAAAACCTTGGACTATAAAGTTTCTACCCTTCGGTTTTTAGCAAAAGGAATGAATTGTGTGTGTGCGTGTGGGCGGTCCTGTGTACATATATTTGTATATGCATAGACTATCTCTAAGGAGGACACAAAGAAGCT